GCAGCTTCCACATTGTTCCCATTAATTACTCCTATATTCCCATTATAATCCCCACCCAGAACCTCAAAATCCCCTAAACCCTAAACCCTAAACCCTAAACCCCTAAACCCTGTATATCCCCTGCCTCCACCAAGATCAATATAATCACGATCCACTCGAGCCGCGTCTCGTGGCTCACCTGGCCAGCTGCCCTTCCAGGGCAGATAAGAGGATAGGGTTTAGGGTTTAGGGTTTAGGATTTAGGTAACCTGAAGCCCCTGAAAAATAGGAACCCAAAAATTTGGTGGTTGGGGCTTCCGCAACACCTTGACCAAGGAACCCAGTAGTTTCAATAGTTTGGGATGAGATAACTGCCGTGTCAACTCTGTCAGGCTCCTTAAACCATCCTGGTTTACCCTAGCCTCTTGACCCTAGACTCTAGCATGACAGTAACCATGCGCTGCCGCCGAATGCTCGTCCATCCCTCTTTGTGGGCGCTGAGTAAGGACGCTACATGTTCGGTGGCTGCTTTGCCAGGGTTGTCAGAAGACTGCCAATGTGGATTCTGAACACAAGCAATCCTCGCCGGGCTCGCGTTCAAGCTATTCTGAAGCAGGTCATACAAGTCCTCACAAAGCACAAGCTCTGCCCTCATGTTAGAAGTGCTGCTGAGACCGTCCCAGGGTCCTTCAGGACAACTAACCGCTGATTCAGGATGTCCTTAGCGACAAGTCACCAGTGGCAAGCCGAGGATCAGACACAAACAAGTAGCGAATCTCAATATTATCCCAATATACTGTAATAGTTTCCATTTGATTTTCCATTATCCCTATTTACCCCTAATATATACCCTAAATCCTAAGCCCTAAACAAACAGCCATAGAGCGCCACTTTGCTTGAGGTCCCTTTGCTGTGCTCATTGCCAAGCTTGCTGCCAAGATGCTACACGCTTGTCCTGAAACAGTGTTTAGGTCCCTCTTTGAGTTTTACAGGGGAACTGTTATGGGGCGAGGTGGGACCGATGTTGTGTGACAGCTCGACGTCAGCAGTTTTGAAGCGAATCCACATGCTGCTGGCTCAGATGTCATACCTTTGCACTCTGACTTTTTTGCTTTGCTCGCCGGCTGCACGTGCAGTTCCCTGCAGTCTGCTGCGCATGTCCTATGTGAGTTGCAGACCCAAATTAGAGAACAAGGCGCGATGTCCAAGTAGGTTCTGCATGCCACGTAGATCTTCTCGAACCTCTCCTGGCAAGATGGTGCTTCATGGAACTTTATACCTCCAGACTCTCCAAATTCCGGTGCCTGACATGGCTTCAAGTGTGCCAGTTGGGGCCTTCGCAAAATTGGGATATCCTGGAACCCCAGTATGGCAGCGGTGCCGCCTGAGGCTTTACATAGGTGAGATCATGAGAACATCCCGGTTCTTACAGATATCCACATAGGAGCTGCGCAGCCCCTCCTCGTCCCAGAAGATGTCAGGGGTGTCCAAGATGTCAGTGTGCAAGTTGACATCGCACCTCCGAGGTTTGCAACTTGCATGGAACCCGCCGATGTCAGCAACAGTGCAGCAGAGCCTAACTTTGACTCGCCTCGAGTACCTCAGATCCTGAGCATGTATGTTGTTACTTGACTGTGCACAGAGACTGACGTCGAGCTGCCAGAAAGGCACATAAAACCCCCGGCAGTAGACTGCTGGACGGCTGTGATTCAACACGCTTAAACACAAGAGCAGTGCGCGGACCCACGATCCTTAGGATCAGCCCTTCTCGTGACGACTCAGGGTGTTCTTGCAGATACCAGGCACGCATGAGCGTAAAAAATCAAAGACCATTTCTTGAAAAACTCTCCATCTAGTCGCATATGATCACAAATAACCATTGCAAACTTAATGAACTTTCAAATCCCACCGTCTTGTGGCCTCAACATGAGCAGTGCGCCCATCTGCTTGGCCAGGGCACGCGCCTGTGACCAAGAGAAATAAACTTTGGCTTCCTGAAGCCATACCCTTTTGTGTACTACAGGCGCCTAAATATGTATCAATATCATGTTGAGGTTCATTTGAGGTACCATAGCCCATAATTATATGAGGGATATGGAACCATAATATTGGTAAGTATCTAGGCCCCTAGTTTACTTGAAGGGTCTTCCTCAAATCACCCTTGGCTTGCTAGGTGAAACTCCAGAAAGACTTCCTGAAGGACATGGCAGAATCTAAAGAGTAGTCCTCCTCAACTCACATTCCAGGCCCCATCAGAATTCATAGCGTTTTCCGAAACAAAGGGGTGTTGGATCATTGAAATTTTTGAGCATTCATATCTCGGACTGCTACGTAAAGCTGCTGACGCAGCAGTCACGCCACATTCCAAGTAAACCCAAACTCAACGGCCCTGAACCTCAAAGCTAGCTGATCGCCTACAATGCCAGGCACCTTCACCACAGCAGTAATTCAAGCTATGAAATCTCAGTTCAGATTCAATCACCACGATCCTCCATTTTGACCTCCCCAGTCTCCGCCAGCGTTTCAGGAATGCTCCTCTGCTCGGACAAAAGGCATGTCCGACCGATTACTACTAGGCTACCATCCAAGTCAACACTCTGTTGATCCACAAAAACCTGCATCACGCTAAGTAACTATTCTTCGTAGGGTTTCTATTTATGGGGTCAGCAGGCACCGAAGCAGGGTCTTCCCAGGACACTGATGCCGAGCCGCAACCTGGAGGCGTTAGACCTTTTGAGGTACTGCAAACCATCTACTGCAGCAGTCTCGAGGCCGAAACAATGCAATCAAACAGTTTGGAAAGGGCTTTGGGGTATATCCTACCGCGTGCTTACAAGGGTTGTTGGAAAACTTTGAAGTCATCCCTTATAATCGCCGTATGAAAGCAGTTTCCATGAAATTCCCCATCTTATCTTCCAAGTGACTCCCAACAACCCCCATTACAATTTTGTATCCCGACCTATATGCCTACATATCCCTTTGTTGCATCTAATCTTCCATCAGGAGCTCCTCGTTTCGGCGATAGACTTCTCCACCACCATCTCGAAGCAGCCGAGTCGGACGGACTGTGCCAGGGCCTTTGACATACACTCAATGTCAGGGCCCGAGGGGTTTAGGATTTAGGGTTTAGGGTTTGGGGTTTGTTCAGGGCTTAGGGATTGGGGCTTGGGTAGGAGTAGGAAGGTTATAGGGTTTAAAAGTTCTAGGCTTGGTGGTCTTGGCGTTAGAGGCGTAGGGGTTTAGGGTTGAGAGGTTCAGGGGTTTAGGGTTTAAGCAGTGGAGGGTTGAGAAGTTTAGGCTTAAGGGATGATGGTGTACGCTTGAGAAAATCGTGCACCATTTAGGACGCCCAAAAAACAAACATTTTCAAAGTTCACTGGACGTAGGATACAGAAAGTGGTACAAAAGTTCCTCCCTCTGCGGCAGCGCCCATAACAGAAGTCCACAGAACTGTGAAATTGACACTTGAAATTGCAAGGAAGGATGCAATGAGATGTTCTGCCTAATTGGCACTTGAAAGTGCCAGCAGGGATGCAATGAGAAATGTGCTAAGGCTTGGTCCTATCCCGAAAAGCCAGCAACAACACTACCATCGGTACTACTAGTGCTGCGGCATAAATATTTATACTGCTGCGGCAAGTGCGCTATTACTGCTGCGGTGAGGACCGCTTTTGCAGTACATGTTTCTCTCTCTTGCTTCTACTCGCCGCCTTCCTGCTGCTTCTACTGCTACTGCTACTGCTACTCCTACTTCTCCTACTTCTCCTACTTGTTCTACTACTACTACTACTACTACCACTACTACCACCACTACCCAAAACTACCACCGCTACTGCTACTGCCACTGCTACTACTATTGCCACGGCTACGACTATTGCCACTACTGCTGCTACGCAGCCACATGATGCTTTCTGCTGTGACTTTTACTCTTCACATAGTTTGCCTAAATAAGGGGACCCCAATATAGACCCCAAAATACTATAATCCTTATTATGGGAACCCAAAAAAGGTACCCCTAATTTTGGGAACCCCCCACCAACACGTCAAGGAGCGTAAGAATGTGCGAGCTTCTCCTTGAGAGGGCTGTGCGACGCCAGGATGATCCTCAGCTGCGGGCATCATGGATATATAGTGGATATATTGGGGTTATATTGGGATAATGGAAAAGAAAAGGGAAACTACTATCATATAATAGGGTAGATTTTGGGGTTATGGTGTAGGGTTCAGGTGCTATCGGTACCTGTCGGCTTAGGGTTTTGGAGTTAGGGTTGAGGAAACAAAAGGGGTGGGACAAGAACATGAAAACTACCGTTTAGGGTTAGGGCTCAAAGAATGGAAAGAAAATGTCAGCTGCTTCACTGACACTGCTACATGCTGGAGCTTGGACAATGCGAAGGGACTTTCCGACTTTCCGGCAAACATGTTCAACAAGGAGCATGCGCCCCGAACCATAAGCAAGACTCCTACCAACCATGTAGGCTCCTACATGCTCCAACTCCTACGCGTAGCGTACAGGACCCTGTTTAGAGAAACGTTTTGTGCCTCAGCATAGAAGTCAACTCGTTGTCTTCAAGGCTCATCTCTGCCTCTTGAGGGATCGTTTTTTGGGTTTTCCCTTGTGTATTATGACATTAAACAGTGGAGGAATATTCATCCCATCTCCCTGCCCCACGTAGGATGTAGGGTTCTCGTGTGTTTTGGGCACCCCCGGAAATTCGTAGGACGCTCGCCGCCTGCAACTTGGGGTCCCCCTACGACATGTATCAAGCATACCCCAACCCTCACATGCCCTAGGGGTAATGGAAAAGAAAATGGAGACTACGATATAATAGTATACTGGGGTAATCTGGGATAATGGAAAAGAAAATGGCAACTACTATATAGCATATTGGGGTAGTATGGGATAATGGAAAAGACAATGGAAGCTACTATATAGCATACTGGGGGGTAATATGGCATAGTGGAAGAGAATGGAAACTACTCTTGTATAAACCCTAGACCCTGAACCCTAAACCCTTTGGAGGAAACCCAGAATGTAACCTATAGTTTTGAGCAGCCCCGTGTATTTTCGAGATCCATAGCCAACATCTGGGTGCCGGACTTGTCCTGGGTGATGCATTTCGCCTGTTTGGGCATCTTGATGATTATTTTGCTAGTTTTTCTTGCTCGCGAATGATGAATTTCGATGTCGTTGATCTTACTGCCGTGGATTCTACCAGTGGGACTGGTATTGCTGTTTGCGAGTCCTCCTCCTCCTACTCCTGCTGCTGCCGTCCCTACACCTGCTGCTGCCGCTGCCGCTGCTGCTGCCATCGCTGCTGCTGCTGCTGCTACTACTGCTGCTACTACTACTACTACTACTACTACTACAATTTTATTGCTTCTTCTCCTGCTTCTATAACAACAGCAACAGAATTAAGGTCAGTGACATACAAGCAGCGGCTCAAGCCTCTTGCGCAGGCTCATCACCATCATCCCCGACGTCATCGCCCTCTGCCTGCGCCGGTGGGTTGCCCGTGATCACTTCACACTGCTGATACCACTTTACCGTCTTTCCACTGCTTCTACAGGTACTCTCATGGCTTTTATTGCCATATCGACTCCGCTGGCAACGTCTTTTGTCAACACCCCTTGGGCGTCTTAACAACTTCGCCGACTGTTACGAACTGCAGCCAACTTGTTGGCATAGCCAAAATCTGACCTCGTCTTTCCGCTTGAGAAGAAAATTCATTGTTTCCTCCTCAAAGCCACCTGAGCCACGTCTTCTTAGCTTCGCTCAAGTCCCTCTGAAGCCTTCCCCTAATAGTAAACGGCCCCTCCACCCACTAAGAGGAAGGTAGAAGTTACGAGGAACACGAGGAACAGTAAAGCGATAGTAGTAATAGTTATATGACAGCAGGAGAGGCTGCGGCTAGAGTCTAGTGTTGCCACACAACAGACCTGCCCGCATCAGCAGCGAAAGAAAGCTGATGAGAACAATTGAAATCGACTAGCGCTGACAGCTGAAACACCACGGGTGTCATCAAAGCAGATCACGACAAGGGTGGGACTCCCATACACCAAATATGGGAGTTACCAGTACCTCAAACAACAGGACTTGCAACACATGTGCAATCATGTGGGGATCTTCGAGGGCGTCCTCCTCCCTTTCTTTGTGGGCCCAGGTGGCTGACTCTCTGACTGTGCCGAGAAGCTCCGCTCTTGCGGCCGCACCAGGAACCTTTGGACTCTAGCGGGCTCGTGGAGGTGATAAGTGCAGCTCTGGTTTGGCGGGGTGTCCTGGGGGTGTTATGGGGTGAAGGGTTTAAAATAGGCGCCGGAGGTTGGGGCGAGAGGAAGATGGGTAAACTATCAGGAAGAGCTGGGGGCTCATGGCCGTCTTGGATCCCTTCTGTCGGTGTGATGCGGGGGCTTTGGGCAGAGCTGGCACGTGACCGTTGCCAGAGAGGAATAACAGAACATCTCTGGTCCGTCATGAGAAGACAACATTTGAGTTGTAGTCGTAAGCTAGCAGTTCGTAGCTTCTGTCACTCGCCTGAGTAAGCCCTGCCATCAAGAACCCCCCCCCCCCACTTCAACAAGGCTCCATCTGTTTGAGTTTACTTAGAAGTTCCATGGATTGCTGGCCAGGCAGCGGCTTCATCGCATCGCGTATCTGATCGAGCTGATTCGGCTCAAAACTCCAACACACCTGGGCCAATCTCAACATATCGTGTCCGTCCATTGGACGGATTTGTCTTACGGGTTCTGGTATATGGGCGATTTCCTTACTGCTCTTGTGAAAATGGCGCAAATACAGGAAGCGCAGGCAGGAACTTGCCGCTTTTCGGGAAGCCAAATGCCTCAATCAAGCACCTGTTATACGAATGTAGGGTAGACCTTCATTTGAGCAGTAGTCTAAACTCCTTAGAAAGGGGGTTCTGCGGGGGCTTATATAGGGGGGCAC